GCCCAAAGGCATCCAATAACGATAATAATCTTGCAAATAACTTCCCGCAAATTCGCATTTGGTTCCATGGATACATATTGAGTGTATTGACTCATCATCAAAGAAGTCAGCTTTCTTTAATCTGTAATGTAAAACGAAGTGACGGCAAGTTTCTAATAATATTAACCACAATGGCAAGATCAAAATAAAAATATTATATTTTGTGTATATTTATTGTCAAAATTTATTATTTTTATATTATTATTAAAATTTGAAATCTTTTAGTTTACTTAAATAAGTTTAAAGTGGTCAGACTTAGAATATTTAGTGAACTCTTTGTAGTTACGAATAAAAAGGTAAATATTTCAAACAAATATAAATTTACTAACATTGGGTTCCTAATTTCACTTATATCTCTCTGTATAATAATTCCTATGCCAATAACATCACATTTCTTAGGAACGGCCACGTTACTGCACTGAATAACAACATCTCTATGAATCGGTGATCTCTTAATTACAGTTTTAAGAGCTCTCGATTTGAAATCTTTACTATCTTTAGCACTGATGGTTAATTTTACGTTATTTGTGGAGATTTTTGAGTCTCCAGTTTCTAAATTTTCTTGGAATTTAAAGCCAGCATCGGTATTAGTATCATATTCCACTATTTTATAAACTTCTTCATTACTAGTTTGAATGTGTTCATCACTATCACTGGTAGAATCTGAAAAAAATCCTTTAGGAATATTAATTCTTAAATATTCAGTACTTGGATTTTTATTATATAGGACAAAATTTTTAGAATGCAAAACAACTTCAACTTTATGGCCGAATGTTTTAGATTTATCAATAAACCATTTTCGATTTGAAATGTTGGCTTTCATGTTGCTTTTGTTGTCATTTTCTGTTTTACTGACGATTTTTATTGGTTTTTCTGGAATCATCCAGGCCTCGATGTTCTGTACAAAATTGACGTGAGCTTTGCTAAATGATTTACAAGATGAATCACCAGTTGTAATTTCACTGCGGGATTTTAAAACAACTCCTGTTTGTTTGTAAACATTTTCCATTAATTCGAAAACTGTACTACTACTTGTAGCATACATTTTGTTATTCCATCTTATTTGAACACTATTTCTTGGCTCGATACTTTCACTTAAAAAGTTTTTTATCCAAGTTTCTCTTAACGTTTCTTCATAGTCTTCTTTAGAAATTTTTTCAGACACTTTATTTCCTTCCATCTCTCTTGATGCAAAAGTATTAATTGCTGCTCCTATTTTTATCATGAATCCATCTCCAACTTCACAACGGCCAGCTGTAACTTCTTTTTTAGATTTATAAGGCTTTTTTGTTTTATCTTTACTTTTCTTTTTAAAGAAAACAAACTTTCTACCTTCTTTCTTTTTATTTAATTCTACTTTTTCCCCTTTCTTTGGTACTGAATCATTATGTTCTTTTTTATAATAAGAAGCTTTGAGAGAAGAGATTTTTCTATCACTTTTTTCTTCTAAATTAAACTTCTTCCCCCATAATTTAAACATTCCCTTAACTCCTTGCTTTATACTGTTTTCTTTTATATATAGTTCCTCTCGTTTACTTATAAAAGATTTCTTATATGTTGTTTCAGGAGTTAATATTTCCACTTCATTGAAACTTAACGAAAAAGGACTGTATATTTTCGTATTAGAATATGACCGCGCTTCTAAAGAAGGCGGATCTGAAGTTATGGAGACATCTTTATGACTTTGAGTACTATTATTGCTTAATTCTTTATTTATTATAACGGCATTTCTTTTGGATACATCTTTCCTAGCTATTTCCCGTCTCAAAGCTTCGAATCGTCGTCTCAATAATGATGCACTTTTAAAATCTAGTATTCCAGATTTTATAGAACCAATTGGTTTCTCGATACTGGAATTCTGCTGTTTCATTTTAGTGACAAACATTTTTCGATATTCCTTTTCTAGTTTATTTTCCATTGGGTCTACAGACTCTGCTAAAAACAATCGACTCTGTTTATCTTCACTTGGGTTTTCCAAATCATGAACCTGTTGCACCGAATAATCTGAAGAGAAAGCATTCTCAGGAAGTTTGTTTATTCTTTTCTTTATTGATAATTTGGATTTATGTATAGTAGGTGTAGTTCCGATTGCTTTATATATTTTATCTTTTGTTAATTCCTTAGGTATTTCTTTAAAGAATCGTTTAACACAATCTTGAGTAGCATTAACTGATATTAATTCTGGAACCTTTTCAATATATTCGTCAACTTGTGTTGTAGTTGTCACCATATGTTTTACAATAGTGTTACTACCTATTTCTGTATTGTTTTTATTTTCTTCTATTTTCAATTTAGAACTAGTAGCGCCAGATTTTATTTGCAGTACAGGTGAGACTTTTTTATTCAAAACATATCCAATGCCACATTCTTTTATGCCTCCGACGCACTTTGACGATGTCTTTTTGTTATTATAATAACTGTTTTCTTTATAGTATCTGGTTCTACCTTGAAAAAAATAAATCAAAACTGAGATAAGCAAATTAACGTACCATGAAATATTTTATAAACATATTTTACTAAAATTACTTAAATTTAGAACACAATCATGTGTCCAAAAGTTTCAATCATCTAAAAATTGATTAGGAACCAATGCACATTCGATTGAAAAAAGAATTATGAAAATTGGGTCAAAATTTAATCTCGTAACTACCCACAAAATATACAGATGAATTTAGAACCTCTTATTGGACTTTACGTTACTCAAATAAATAATAACATACTACTCTAGTTTCAACTTACGATTGATAAACGTCGACAAATCTGAACTTCCCACGCCTCTATCGTCAGTCTCAGGTAAGTATATTTTCTTCACTTTCTTCTTCTGCAGCGTTTTGACATTTCCGACTCTTATCTCAGTAAAACTTCTGGATTTGTGATATGTATATACCTGCTTCGGGTAACCACTGAAATATCTGAAATCCTCTGGTCTTCTTATAACATTTTTGCAATTGTAAAATATGTTACCTCGTTTACTATCAAATTGGCAGGCCACGTCGTGTGTTTCATTATATCTATTAACAATCTCTTTGTTAGTTACTCTACTTGTATATAATTGATAAAAGGTTTGCAATTGGTTTTCTTTTATATCACGTTTAGTTACATAAACACCTTTGCTTTTATTCATTTCTTCTTATTTATCATTGTTTTCTCTTTACACACATTTTACTGTGATTTACACTTTAAATTTATTATCGATTGTATATAATTTACTTGCAAATGTTTCGCTAAAACATTATGTACTTTTGTACGTCTTGATTGATATTATTGTAATTCTCAGCTTCTAGAACAGGATTATAAAGTAGAATAGGATTATATTTGTATTTAAAAGTATATATTATTATTTAATATTAATATAATAATAAACGACTAATATTGTACAAGGCAAGCTGCAACCTGTCTTGAAGAGAAAGATACTAGATCATCTACTGTTTCATATTGTTTACCTAATTTGGGTAACTGCTTTCTATCATCGTTCGGCTCGCCATCGACAGGGAGTTCACCCTCATACCTTATAGCCTAAATGGTCGCGTATAACGCGGTTTCAGAGATGTTTTCTCCCACGAACACTCAGGTTGTGGAATGAGCTCCCTGCCGAGGTTTTCCCAAGAGACTACAGCATGGGGTTCTTCAAAAGGGGGGTAAAGAGGTTTCTTCAGGGTCGCCAACGCGCGCGTAATGCCTCTAGTATTGCAGGCGTTCATAGGCTACGGTAACCGCTTACCATCAGGTGGGCCATATGCTTGTTTGCCACCTCAGTGGTATAAAAAAAATCTGTATTATACCTTTCAAAAGATTATAATGGACAATTTACAGAAACAAAAATTAATAGAAATAAATATCTAATACCACAAAAGAGTAATATAACAAACATGAATTGAGTGGGCTATATAAATCCATTTGCCAAATGTCATTTAAATCAATTCTAGCGTGTTTTTATTCGAGGCATTCCCACATTGACATTATATTATTAAGATTGGTTGATTATTAAAAATGTTATGTACCTGTTAATGTTTTGTCACTAAATTCAGCATTTAGTTATAGTTATATTTCATAATTTAATTAGAACAATCCCCGGAAATTTCTCAAATTTTTTTTACAAAGAATTTTATTCTCTTTATTTTAATATTTTAGCTTTTGACAAGTGTCTTTATAATTTTCTTTAATGCTGTCAGAATTTTCTTTGGTGTTCAATAAACACCATCACGTTCCTGGCCAGTTGTAATATTAGATTTTGACAGATTTTTTTTATCAGTTCTATTCATAGACATGTGTAAATAGAATATTTTGTTCTGTGAAATGAAATATATCTGTATTTTTTCTATGATGTTTTTCTATACAATAGCAATATTTATCAATTATTGATTTTTTTTTTTGTGTTTATTTAAAACATATTGTGAGGTAACGCGAATTAACTTATTTACAATCATTTTATGAGTACTTTTACGTTAATTTTATAAGTAAATTCTAAATAGAGTAGATATTTACAAATTATTATAAGCAATGATTTTTTTGTTTACTCATACTATTTTTGCAGACTTCAATTAACTTCATATGATATCAAACCACCAAATACGTTATAGAAAAGTGCAAATACACATAAATACTTTTGAAGCAGATCTGTACGAAAAGACTGAAGAAAATAAAATTATGAATAAAGACAACCACAACGGAGGCAAGTGTAAAAACTTTCATAATAATAGAACAATTTGCTCGATTTGTTTAAATACTAAAACGTATGAAAAGGACAAAAATGAAGGAGTTAATGAAACGTGTCCTATATGTCATCAAAATAAAGGCAATAATAATAATGTAATAACAGAAAATCAGCAGAACTGTGACGAAAAAGGACACACTGTAGTCAAGCCACAGAATACGAAATTAGTACAAACTCCCCATGCAGATATTTCACAAGGTTTGAATCTATTGAACGAAGTATTAACAGTATTTCAAAGTAAAAAGCAACTAACTACACATAATGCAAATAACAAAGCAGCTACAATAAAAGATGCAAGTACCATCACTGATGTAGATACAAAAGTGTACAAACTTAAACCCAAATTATCAGTTAGCAATATATTTCATTACTCAATCGAGGAACATAGAATGGCGAGTGAAAACCGTAATTTTAGAATTGTTCACTGTTTCCAACCAGATTATATAAGATCTCAGCATTTGATCAAACGAAAGTCATCTTCCGTACCACAAATGAAACTAGAAGAGCTTAAACACTGTCTAAAAGAGAAAAAGAAGTCTAAAGACACTATTGAAGAAGTGAACAGAATGTTTGCTACAGTGAAAAGAAATGAATCCAATACCTTAGACTGTACAAATAGGCCTATAGTTAGAAATGGCCCGAGACTATTGTCAGTTGTGAAAACTAAAGACCGAGAAGGTGTTCATAATGAATTTAATAATAAAATTGATTGTGAACATAACTGCAAATATTGTAAAATGAAACATCGACTTTCTAGTGGAGATTCGTCAAATCAATGCCGTAAGACGTGCAATGGAGGGAAATATGATAAATGCGTTTATACGCTATGTTGCCACTGTCATACAAACAATCAAATGCAAAATAGAAGCCATGTTTGCGAGTGTTATACAAACAATTTAAGTAATTGTCGACAAGAAGCGCATGGTGATTATGAAGATGATTTTTAAATTATAATTTGTTTAATAAAATATTTTTCGTTATGTGATTCTTACTTTCGTTTTTTTTTTTTTCAGAGATATTGTACTGATGTATTTGAACAAATTTTTTTTATTATTTTGGAGGCTTATTACATATAAAAACAACAGGTTTAAATCCTATAACTACAAAGTGACTTGTTTTGTGTTTGATCTCTGGTTTCCCCATAGATATAGTATAACGTCTTAAAAAGAGAATGCAGGTATCGACTATGCTTAATCTATGTACAACGTACATTATCCGCAGGTACTACACTTAATCCATGTTGCTTTTAATACCAATTTGCAGAGAGCTCCGTTTACTCTGTAAAAGTTCCAGGTTTTAGGCGTTCCTAATAAGCTCCCTGCTTGCAGTTACAAACAAGCTTTTGATTATATAATACACTACAATGATCTCAAGCTCACAGGCCGTATCGAGCCCTTAAGTTCAAAGCGAGACTGTCTCCCTTTGTATGTTCTACCATTTGTATAACGGATTGTGTACTGAGAAATGTATTGCATCGCTCGCCATCGATAGGGAATTCATCCTTACACCCTTGAACATAAATGGTTACATACAGTGCGGTTTAAAAAGTAATTTTGATCGAAACGCTCAGGCTCTGGAATAAGCTACCTGCCGAAGTTTTCCCTAGAGACTACAATATAGGGTTCTTCAAAAACGGTATATATAGGTTTCTTTAGGACAGTCTATAGGGATTATTTACCATTAAACAGGCTGTATGCTTGTTTACCACCTTTGTAGGCAAAGCCGTAGTTTAAAAATAATTCTCGCGTAAATAATAAACTTAATAGTAAACATCTTAATTTATTTTAAAGTAACGTTTATCAGAAGTAAAAGCTCTCTGAAGAAAATTTAGTTTTTTCGTCCCTGTAACAAAAAAATACAGGTATTATGTAACACTCGACAGAGGGAGGGGGAAAGGGATTGTTAATTATGGGGTCTAACAGCTCGATTGCTAGCAATACACGCTACCAGGTCTTCCATACGGTTCCTCTTAGAAACCGTCGTGATTAATTCTTGTGGAATTTGTCTCGATTAACTGATCTGCTTTCATCATAATCTATCACTGGTGCTCCACCAGCGTATACCTTTTATATTTTTTTTTATACAACTTAGAATGGCAAACAAGCTGACGGCCCACCTGATGGAAAGTGGTAACCGTCGCCTATAGACATGAGCAGTACCATGGACAAAACAGAGTATACTGTTTCGCCCATGATGTTTTCATCCTCATCAATCACCCTTTACTAGTGCCCCGCCAGCGTATCCCGTTAGCGCAGGCGGGGTTACCACTCCATTTTCATCCAATAAAAAATAAAAATAATAAATGGGACAGAATGGAAAAGACCAAGCAATCGACTTTTGTACAAAGTCTCTGGTAAATACCGTACCGATAGCGAGGGCGGATTACCACTCCATTCTCATCGATTAAAAAAAAACTACAATTACTTTATCCAGGCCAGGATCACTGAAACTATACATAGAAATAGTATTACGTAAGTATTAGGCCTACGTAGTTTACGTAAGTCTTCGGACAAAACATTCCTATGTATTTAAAAAAAAACGTCCAATTGTTATTTATAAAAAAATATATATATTTTTGTTTTTACCTGTTTTCTCTATATTTATTCCTGCTTCTTTCCAATTTCTCACTATGGGCTCGTTCCCAATCACGCGGACTGTCTTGACTGGAAAATATCCAAAAAGATAAGTGACTTGTGCGTTAGTTTTGTTACCTAAGGCAGTAACGTCCAAAATCCACCAGCCTAAGACTCGTTTCTTATAATTTTTAAAATTTTCTCCGAAAGATATTTTTTTAAAATTGAAGTCACTTGTTAACCATTTCTACTAACATAATTTTAAGTCTGGTACTAACAAATTGATCTTGTTGCTTACATTTGAAATTTAAATTTCACTTTAATTTGAATAAGGGACTTCAAAAATAAGGATCTTTACAATTCATCTGAATTTACGACGATCTCACGTGAGGGCGAAAGGGATTGTTAGATCAGGACAACCTCCAAACGCGTCCTCCTGGATGTCGTGATTAGTTATTTTTTAATTAGTCACGATGGGCCAACTGACCTGCTTTCATCTTCACCTATCATCCCTCACTGATACCTTGCCAGCATATACCGATAGTGCTAGCAGGGTTACCATTCCATATTCTTCCATAAAGAAAGACTATGTTACGTATTGTGTCGCCAATTCTGAATCGACTGTCATAGTTCGTTTTGTAATAGTGTTTGTTCTCGTGTTGGGCCCATTTTAATTCTGTAACAAAAGTTTCATTTTTCCTTTGTGGAACAGAAACCTGCTTGTTGCAAAGCAAAATCTATATTTATCTAATCACAAAATGTTTCATAGTATAATATTTTGATTGAGAATTAAAATTTAGTTTATAACTAAACGTCCATATTAATTCTATCACAATTAAATTACTGCTTTTTACGTAACAAAATTTACTTGTAAATACATTATATGGAATGGTAACTTACTCTCCCAGACCTAAATCGAAGAATGGCTCTCTTTTCTCATCGCGAACACTTATCTTAGAGTCAAAATCCTTCGTCAAAACTCTCTTTAGAGTATTAGTTGAGTCGACAAATCTGCACATGCACTGGTTCAGCGTTTGCATTTTATTCATAAACGTATCTTTGTCCATTTGCATCGGCCGTTTCATCAGTTTCTCCAACTCCTTCGTTATCATCCGACAATTGTCTTTCAAATCTGGTATATCTGTCCATTTTAAATTCGTATTAACAGCTGCATGTTTTAATATTTTAATTTTCGGTGTTACAGTTTCTATTACAAATTCTCCTTCTTCGATAATTTCATCTGGTGGTTTGTAATATGTTTGTCTAACGCCGAAAATGGTTGGCGATGTATTTTCGGAGAGACCATCTTTTGTTTTAGCCATGACCAGTTTTAAAAGATTGTCCAGACCTATTTTATGGTCGTTGAGAAGATGGCGGTCTAGTACTGTTATCCTGTTCACAAAAGTAGAAGTATGTATTAAAAGTATCTAATACTGATATTTATCTTAGGTTATCCTGTGAAGAAAATTAGGTATCTACAAGGTATTATGGACGAAACAGTATACTCTGTTACGTCCATGGTACTGCTCATGGCTATAGGCGACGGTTACCACTTTCCATCAGGAGGCCGTCAGCTTGTTTGCCATTCTAAGTTGCATAAAAAAAGTGTGATCAAAAATATGGTAAATGAAATTTTATACCAGGAATCGAAGACGCTACATTCGTTTGAACTAATATTTCCAATAAACTGATTCATTGAGATAGTGTGCACCAAGTTTAAACAAGTTATGACTTATTTATCACGTCAAGTCACATTTACTGCATATGTCTCGTTTCATGGATTTCAAATAAAATGTTAACATAAAATTTTAAGTTGCAAAAAAGGTCCCAAAAATGAAATATTAAAATCATTGTACGGCGATAAAGTGATGACTTTAAAGACTATTTACAAGTGATATGAGTGATTTAGAAGTGGAAATAAAGTGAATTCAAGACGAACAATAGTTGGGACGTCTTTCAATCTTAAAGACAGACGAAAACATGCAAAGAGTGGCAAGAATGGTTCAATCAAACAGGCGGTTGATGACTTGAGAGTTTGTAGAAAAACGCCGTATTTAGAGACAATATAAAGAGAAAAATGGACTAATGACTTTACGCGTATCATAACAACACATCGTATCACAGATCACTTCCGATTCGGGAGTTTTTGGCGCTATAAAATTTACTCTCTGTCCACGTCCGCCTTATTGTTCGGATTTTTTAAGTTATTACTAATTGGCTTCGGAAACAGTTTTTGTGATAATTTCAACAAAACCCAGATACTTTTTCATTGACTTCTATTGTAATAGACCTCTAACTAAGGGATTTAGCATGAAAGCCTAAATAATGAAAATTAAAAAGATTTATCTACAATAACAGACTTACCTATCTGCGTCGAACGAACACAGGTGACAACCAAATGTCTCCCTGTTGGAGGACTCTGGACCGATGGCCAGAGAACCAAGGGTGGCTGTGATGGTACTGCTCTTTGATACCGCAGAGTCCAAATTCAAACCTTTGGATGTGCATGACTCGCTGATAACTGGCAGGTCCTGTTTGAAAAAGAAATAAGTTATTTTATGCAACATGAAATAGCAAAGAAGTTAACGACCCACTTGATAGAAAGTGATATGTAAATATATTTGAGAGATTTTCCCTCCCTCTGCGTGTTTTGGCATATAATATGCTTTACGTCTGGTCAATGAAGTTCCGAACTGGACTTATTTCACTTTACTGCCACAGAGTTTCGCAGAGCGGTAACAATTACACAGAAATGCATTTTTAATATTTATTTTATACAGCATAATTAGATTTATTATTATACTTTAAATTTCTAGAAAATTCACATCTCCCCTCTTAAGGAGAGGCGATGGCAAACTAATCCCCGGCAGAAACACAGTCGGCCGGGGTTCAGGGCCCCAGGGAGAGAAACCGGCGTACAATGCGGGCAGAATCTAAGAGCACCGCTTTCTGCATCTTTCCCGGGAGTGAGCCGCCTCAAAATTCCAACCGTCTGAGATGTTGTTTATTATTATATTTCCAATCTTGTATTATTATAATGTTTGATTTTTTAGTTTTTGGCGAGTTCATTGGTAAATCTGTAAGGCTCACCAAAAATATGTATATATATATATATTGTTTTGATTTATATTAGTCTTATTAAGTTAATATTACCCACATATTAATTATTTATTGTTTTCTTTAAATATCTTCCATGTACAAACATCGTCTTGTTACAATTTTATTATATTAGCAAAATAAACATTAGGCACAGTACATTTTCCGTTGTTTCCTCAGCGTGCGCGAACAAAGCGCGACTGCGCGAGATGCGCGCGCGCAGTCTGTCGAACAATCTTGTGGCAGACGAGGTTCGGGCGGCCACTGCAGCAAATAAATAACTTAAGATTAAGTTTTTTTATGCAATTTAGATTAACAAACAATCTGACGGCTTGCCAGTGGGAAAGTTGTAATCGTCGAGCTATAAACATGAGCAATATCATGGACATAACAGAGTATACTGTTTTGCCCATGATACCCCCTATGCCTTTCCATCCCTGAGGACTCAGGTGTTATTCCTCTGTACCCTGTATATTCACTGCTATATCACACCTTTCGAATCATCAGAAGCATCTGTCGATTGTAGCCGTTGCGATGAACACAAAAAAAAATTTAGAAGAAAGAAGAGGATGCCCAGCAATTACGAAGATATCCATAAGTTTTAATCATAATCTACCAGAGGGAGACTTTGTACAAAAGTCAATTGCTTGGGTACCTCTGTCCCATTCGTGTTTCTATCGTGAAGCAGTTGTGTTTACATGGCTGTGTTTCGGTTTGAAGGGTGGGATATGGCGTGAATTTACAGGGTACAGAGGAGTAACATCTGAGTCCTCAGGAATGGCAACGCATGGGGGGTATCATGGGCGAAACAGTATACTCTGTTATGTCCATGGTACTTCTCATGTCTATAGGCGACGGTTACTACTTTCCATCAGCTTGTTTGCCATTCTAAGTTGTATAAAAAAAACTTTTATTAGAAGACCACGCCACACGCCCCAGCGCGAGGCATTGTTTCTATGACCCCAGGGTCTAAGCCCTCAAAGTTGAAGCTCTGGTAAAGGGATCCTCCCCGAGACCCCCACTTAAACCTCATAGACGGTTCAGAAGACCTGTCCTCGTAACACTCAGTTTTGCAGAGGTAACAAAAATTACGTAATGGTATAAATAACATATCTTACATGGAAATCCTTTCTTTACTTTATCTGCTGTATATTTCGATGACCCAGCTCGAGGCACTATGTGTGACTTCTGAAAAAAATAAATTCATTTCAACCGACTTTAATTAAGGAGGTTCTCAATTCAAATTGTATTTTTGTTTGGGCCTACCTACCTACCTCTATTCGGTGCGCTCAAACTCTTACTAGCTTCAAAACCTCTGTTTATTCCTACTACCTCTCACTTTAGTACTATTTTCCTGTGTTCTCTCTTCATTTTCCTTCGTCATTTTTTTTCTATTGTATGTGTGCTGTTAAGTATGTGTATGTTATGTATATAGGTTTGTCCGGAAAGTACGTATAAAAGTTTTTTAAAAATTTTATTTTACAATTATTCAGGTAAATCAATTTTATCCCCTTCAAAGTACTCCCCCTGTGACATAATGCACTTGTGCCAACGCCGTTTCCACCTGGTTGTAGGTTTCTCAGCTGCCCCGTCGTAGCTTTTTTTATCTCATTTATGTCCCCCAAATGCCGCCCCCGAAGTACCAATTTGGTTTTTGGGAACAAGAAGAAGTCACACGGGGCCAAATCCGGCGAATAGGGGGGGTGTTCGGTCACCGTAATGGAATTTTTACTCAAAAACTCACGGACAACAAGAGAGGTGTGGGCAGGGGCATTGTCGTGGTGAAGAATCCAACGCCCCTCTCGCGCCAATTCTGGACGAACTCGTGCCACACGAGCTTTGAGGCGTCTGAGCACATCGACGTAGAATTTTCCATCAACTGTCTGGCCTGGAGGGACGAATTCTTGATGGACAATCCCCCGAACATCGAACTCTTTCTCGGCCCTCTCTGAATCTTTTTAGCCACTTGTGGACGGTTGGTTCCTTCACAGCATCATCCCCATAAACTGTTCTGAGATCGGCAAAAATTTCACGGCCATTCTTGCCGAGTTTCGAGAGAAACTTGATTACGACGCGCTGCTCTTCAACGGAAGCGGGCTCCATGCCGACGGGGTTTCGTTAAGAGGTAACTTCACAGATGGCGTGACAAGCCAGTCCGCACCGCACGGCGGTCAGACCAGAACTGAAGCATTGTTAGGGACATAAGGAAGGGGTCCTGCGCTTACCTGGCCTCCCCACTCCTCTTTCTCGCATTCCAGAACACTTTTATACGAACTTTCCGGACAGACCTCGTATGTATTTAATTTTGTATATATTATATATGTATGTGTATGTATGTATGTAGGTATATATATATGTTTGTATATGATAATATTTATATAATAGTGCGCCACCTACCCTTTGTCTTTTTCTCAATGTCCTCTACACAAAGGTTGTCTGGAAGAGATTGCTTAGCGATAAGGCCGCCTTTTGTATCACTTCTCATTAATATTTACTGTATTTGTTATTTCTCTTTTTATTTGGTGCAATAAAGTGTAAATAAATAAAATAAAAAAATATTTTTATATGGTTGGTAACCGATTTGGATTTTTTTTTATCTGAAAGGATACACGACGGTTACCACTTTCCATCAGGTGGGCCGTCAGCTTGTTTGCCATTCTAAGTTGTATAAAAAAAATCCTTACCACAATGAATGAATCCATGAAGAGCCGCGTGGAGGTTGACCTGTAGGATTGCTAGCAATGTTTTTTTTTAATAAATGACAATGGACTGGTAACCTGCGCTAACGATATACGCTGATGGAGCACCAGTGAGCCCAGCGTGATGAATACACCAGGAATTCAGCACGATGATTTCCACGTGAACCACGTAGGGGACCACGTGAAGGTCAACCCGACAGGGTATATTGCCAGCAATAGGACTGGTAATCCGCATTACTAACAATCCCTTCCCCTTCTAGCCATGGGGTTGCCAGATCCTATAACTACTCATCCCTTCCTCTCCAAAAGTGCGATGTCAGAATGGTATTACAGTGGAATATGTTTTACCGGCAAAGTCTTAGTTTTACTGGTGTCATCATCATCGATGGAGGTGGGATGATGCAGTTGCTGATGCATCATCAGGGCGCTTTCGAACTGCGACGTAAAACTGCATTGTGGACAACTGTAATTATTAGACGGTTGATTATTATAGAATTAGTTTCTTTAATTCCGCTACCATTAGTACGCGTTCGATGCTGTGAACAGTCCAAGATTGGCTACTAGTATTATCACATTAGACCTCAATCTCCGACCGCCATTAAGTCTACGCACATTTTGCGACACGTGTTTCACCTCTAAACGAGATATCTTCAGGCAATTTTGACCATTTTTGCAATGGGATAGACAGATACCAACTGACTTGACTACATTCCCACCGGGGACAATAAGGATTATTAGCAATGGGATCTAATATCCCTTTACTTGTGATATAACCTGTCGGCCGACCTCCACACGGGCCCTCCTGGAAACTATGGCATTTAATTTCTGGCGAATCAATCATGATGGACCAGTGGGATGGGATTATTAGAAATGCGGATGTTTTAAAGAATGCTGCTACCCATCCCTCGACTATTAAGTTCTTTAGTTGCCTCTTACCACTCTTACGGGACATTCTATGGCGGGACCACATGCGCCTTAGTCTTACCAATTAAAAAAAAAAACTTTTATTAAAACTATCAATTAAATAAATATATTCACTTACCAATAACTCATATGAAAATCTGATATCAAAATAGTCTATAAATTTATACCGTCTCTAATAAACACACGCAAAATGTCATATTTCTTGTCAATTTCCATCAAGATGACATAATTATTGGACAAAATATACGAATAGGTATTTAACCTATTACGTGTTTTCGTAAAGTAAAAGACAAATAAAAAAAAGTAACAGACTAGGCTGTATAGGCTTCGTTTCCTTTGCCTATCCTGCAAAAAAAATAATGAATAAGACAAAAAGTCTTGTTTGATAACATTTGTCAAATCAATATCTCTCTTTTTTAATAAAGTGAAATCTGTCAGACATTTATTATAACTAGTCTGTTTTATTTAATTTCATTTCGTGTAATTTATCTAAGATTTCGAGTTAGAATTTAAAATAATTGTATAAATATACAATATGCCACAAAGTAAAGTTTCATCCATCCATTTTGATAAATGGCGGTCGTCCACCGTGCGTTTCAGTAAACATTTTCTAACCAAACTATGAAACCAACTGTCAGCGCCAGGTTTTCCAAACAGATACCACATTGAAACCTTGAAGAAAAGAATATTCCTTCGTAATAAGTCGATAACACACATGCAATTTCTCTGATGTTGCGAGTAACTACGGGCGGCGGTAATCAGGTAAGCCGTATGCTCGTTTGCCCTCAATGTTATAAAAAAAGTACATCTGTAAATAAATAAAACTCTTTCATATAATACGTAATTATATAAATCTCTTTAACTACTTGTTAAACCAAGGTAAGTGTATAAAATTATAAATATGTAATGGCGGGGGAAAAGGGATTGTTAGGCATGGAGATTGACAGCCCTATTGTAAACAATATACCCTATCAGGTCGACCTCCACGTGGTTCCCCCTGGAAATCATCGTGAACAATTCTTATTGAATTCGTCACGATGGGCTAACTGACTTGCTTCATCCTCACCTATCATCCTTCGCTGGTGCCCCGCCGGTGTATACCAATAGCGCGAGTGGGGTTACCATTCCATTATCACCCATTAAAAAAAATATGTAATGGCAAAATAACTCGCTTCCAAGTCACACATCTAATCTATATAAAAAAAAATTGTTCCGCATTCAAAAATTTAACCCTTCAAACATCGTGGCTTGTGCAAAAGTTAATTTCTCTCAATTATGTCTTTAAAAAAAAAACGTAAGTTTGTATTTTTTCATTTTTATTACCTTTTAACTCTGTCAGTTACAAATTGTTTTCATAGAATTTCATCAAAATCAATCCGGTAGTTTAGTTTTTAAATTAAAATAATTAAGATCGTGTTTAATCGATACAGAAATTTAGTTTTTACATCAAAATAACTGGTTTTGTCACAAATAAACTCTTTTTTTAAACACACAATTTAGTTATTATAACACAATTAATTTATGTCATACTAGTCTTTACCCGCGACTTTGTGATCGGAATACAAATAGAGAAAACAGAATAGAGGCAAAGTAGCCTATATATTGCATAAGGCATCGACCACCATAACTATAAATTTTACTTTACATAAAACGTCGAAGTGTGTCGTGACGCCTGTCTGGTATATTATTATAACGATTATTTCAATTTAAATAATTAATTTATTATTAAAAGAAATAGGATAATTGAATATATTATATATAATTTATTGCACTAAAGCATACAGTAATAATAATAATTAAAAACAATGTAAGCAAAGGCGAACTTATCTCTAAAAGAGATCTCTTCCAGTCAACCTAACACAGTGATATAGGAAGTAATGAGTAGGCAGCTGTAATGCAAAACGGAACTCTAAACAACAATAAAAATATTTGTATAATTTATAAATCATTATATATATATAAACCTTTATTTACCAGAGGGATACTTTATACAAAAGTCGTTTGCTTGGACACCTTTGTCCCATTCGTGTTTCTACCGTGAAGCAGCTGTGTTTCGGTGAGATATGGCAGTGAATTTACAGGGTACAGAGGAATAACACCTGAGTCCCCAGGAATGGCAATGCATGGGAAGTGTCATGGACGAAACTGTATACTTTGTTATCTCCATAGTACTGCTCCTGTCTATAAGCGACGGTTACCACTTATCATCAGGTGGACCGTCTCGGCTTGTTTGCCATTCTAAATTGTATAAAAAAAAGAAAACCTATATAAACAAGAATATATTATATACATGATTTTAATCTTTTCTTGAAGGAATCTAAAATATATATATTGACTAGTAGTGTTATTAAATTTTAATGAACCGCTAGGAGGCCATAACGGTAGATGGTAGATTTATGTTTTTAGAAATTTTCATTAAAAAAAAATATGTCGAGATTGTTTACCTAGTAAGCCAATAATGAACTGTCAAAAGCCATAGGCGTTTATTATTTATTGAAATATAACATTACGTCATCAAATAAATTTTGCATATTAATTCTATTTGCCATTTTTGCGAATTTCATTATATAACTAGCTGACCCCGTAAACGTTGTTTTACCACTTATTGCGAAATATAAAAATCGCAATTAAATTAAATCATACAGGGGTTGATCGTAAAACGATGAAAATTTAAAGTTGTATGTATTTTTCAATGCTAAATCATAATAAAATAAAAATGGGAAAATGTGTCAAAAAAAAAAATTTTGGAAAGGGGGCGACCCTTTATTTTATCATTGACGGGTATGAAAAATAGATGTTGGCCGATTCTCAGCCCTACCCGATATGCACACAAAATTTCATAAAAATCGGTAAAGCCGTTTCGGTGGAGTTTGGTAACAAACACCGTGACACGAGAATTTTATATATAAGATAAGTACTTAATAATTTAAATAGTTACAAAATTCGTCTGTTAGGTAGGTTAATATAACTGTTACAACCTTTATTATGTCAATTTGAATAGATCCTAACCATTATTTTAATATATGCTAATACATTCTTAATCAAACGCCATTTTACGGATATCCTCAACGTATTAATCATTCTAGATGAGAACTTCCGCATTTTTATATTTTTTTTTTCTTAGTTCCAATAAAGAAGTGACACAAGTGCATACAGATCAAGATGTCAAAATCATTTATTCATTTAAAAAAATATTAGTCATTTACACACGTAAATATTTTTTTTTTTTAATACATGTTTTTAAACTTTAATTAGGGCTGATCTTTAATTAAGATAGCGTTTTATAATTTAATCACATTAATCTATATTTTAAGTCGATATAACTGTATGCTTTGTTGGCTGTACTTAAATAAATAAAAACAAAATTAAAAAATAAAGTTTTCTCGAATCTCTTTTTTTGTGCGTGTGACGTGTTAAACGCACTTTTTGTGAAGCGATTTTAATATGTATTTAATAATTGGTTTTATAATTATTTTAATATAAATTAATACAGTCCTAGTTGTTATCGACTTAGTCTGAACTGGCTAGCTTCTTTCATCGAAACCTCTATGTGTTATATAAATTTTGATGTCTGTAATCCTTCCATCTCTAAATATGACCCCTTAACCAGCATCCATCATGACTTAATGCATCTGCATTTAGATAGGGGTTACAGACTTAGATTTTTTTTATATATAACTTAGAATGGCAAACAAGCTAACGACCCACCTGATGAAAAGTGGTAACCGTCGCCTATAGACATGAGCAGTACCACGGACATAACAGAGTATACTGTTTCGCCCATGATACCCCTCATGCGTTGCCATACCTAAGGACTCAGGTGTTATTCCTCCGTACCCAGTAAATTCACGCCATATCCCATCCTTCAAACCGAAACACAGCCATGCAAACACAACTGCTTCACGATAGAAACACGAATGGGACAGAGGTACCCAAGCAATCGACTTTTGTACAAAGTCTCCCTCTGGTATTCAATTATTGTAAAGTCTTTGCAGTTTATAATACCATTCATGTCTCTCTTAGATATTTATTTAGTAAAATGATGAAGCGGTTATTTTATGATAAGTTATAAGGAGACCTATTCATTCAAATATTTTAATAATCTGCAGATAACCTTTAGATTATCTGAACCAAGTATGTATATAAAATATGTCCATTGAGTACTGTTTTTTTTTCAGCGAGTTTATATGACGCTCTACAACTGTAATGATGCACATCATCGATGGTATCACAAACTTGACAATGGGGCGATTAAGGCTTTTACGTCATATGTGTAAATAATTGTTTTTCTTTTTATTTTTTTTAACTTGAATTCATTTATTTAATATTTATTCTCTCTAATTTCTTTAATTTACAATTTCTGGCCTATGTTAAGAAAAATCATATAAAATGCATAGTATCAATAACATATTTAGTTTGTGCATATAAATGAGAAAGTAACTATAAGTGTATTTAAGTAGGAGATTACTTATTAGTACCTTTCTTGACTGAGATATAATAACGACCTTATGCGTGTGAACATTAGAAACTTAATTGATTGTGACAGCTGCTGTATCTTTTGTCCACAGCGATTAGGTAGTTAACCTACAATTAAACTTATCAACAGTACTAAAATTGACTTGTGTAGACATTGAAACGTGTGAAAACTCACACAATCACATTCATTTGAAGTCTTTTTCTTTCATAAATGCGATAAATATTCCTTTGTACGCGTTCTATCATGATTATGTATATAAACAAAGTTCTGTTTACACATTTGAATTTGTGGTCGCGCAAATTTGTACTTTATTACCGCGCAATATGATCGAAGTGTAGTGGTAAGGCTTCACAAAGTGTAGGCTGCCTTGGTAATGCAAAAGCCTCTCGTAAAACCTGAAGTTGGCAACACTCGGCGAGCCTCGTTTGACTACTCGTTTATTCTCAGTCGCGAGCGGGGGTTCGGTTACGGCGCGCGCCTTCGTGTGCAACGACGCGAATCGTGTTGGATTTTTTTCACACGCCAACAAACAAGTAAAAAAAAAGAACTAAAGACTCCATGACAAAGCGGTTCGCACGGCGAACGCGTATTTTCGTTGTGAGTTTTAAAAATTGTTTATTGAAATCGTCTTATGACTTTTTGAAACCGGTTAAAACGCTATAGGAAGTAGGTACGACAGTTATATAAAACTATAATGTTCGGTTTTCTTTTGCAGGTATAACGAGTGAACGAGTTTGTCTTTTGTTTTGTGTGATTTTAGCCACAGTTTTTTTTGTTTTTTTTTTTTTAAGAAATAAAAAAGTG